TTACTGGAATAATTTTCTTAAAGAAGAACATTTACATATGAAGCATGTACAAAATAAATATATAAAGAAAGGAAAATCAATTATACACACCATGTACTGAAGTACATAATGGTTACGATTTTATTGTTTGATTAGGTTATACTTCACGTTCACGTAAATAATAAAACTATTAGCGTGACTAAATTTAATATTGTCATTTAATAAAAGAAATAATAACGATCGCTTTTGCACAACGGAACATTCACCCTAATTTAGTCAGTAAGCAACTGGCACGCAAGGTGGTCAAACGGGATTCCCATCGTGGCTATTCTTAACCAGACCAGGCTAATATTGAATCCGCTCAATTACTTCCAGCTATACTAGCATCAGCAATAAATATAACTGTTATTAAGAATTTTTAATTTCTATTCCTGTCGTATTTATACATTTAATGAATGAGCAGCCTCTTTTTGAACTTGTTTGTTTTTATTCTGTTTCGTTGAATCATTACATGCAAAACTTTCATTTTGCAAAAACATTTCAAGCAAAACAGATTTTACGTTTAAGCGTTAATGACTTTCGTACACGTCAATGTACGTCTATGGAACGTGCAACGGTAGATATGTGCAAATAAAAAAAAATAAGGATCATTGTAATAATTATGTAAACAATTTGTTTAAAAATCGAAAAATTAAAGCGCGTAATATATATCTTCGATGGAGCAAATTTGCAAAGTCAGTGCAAAACTATTTACACAATATCATTGTTACAAAATAAAACAATTTGTTAAAAAGAACAAACGAGAAAAAAAAAGAAATGAAAACGATCTCGACCGCGGTCGTATTTTTATTTACTTGGAGAAAAAGGGAAGAGCCGGACTTCTCGGTAAGAAGAAAGACGAGCCGGAAAGAAACAAGACCGCGAAGAAGAAGAATGCCCGGGTTAAAAATAGCAGAGCGCATTTTCAAATAAAAAGTGATAAGCAACTTGCAGGATAACGATTAAGGAGGAGAAGGTAAAGAAGAGAGAGCCGAGAGGGTAAAAAAAGGAGCAATACCGACGGGGAGAAGAAGACAGCCGGCAAAACAGAATGAAAGAACGTGCTTCGATAAAAAGAAGATTCACAAAAGCACAACCACAACCGTACGGGGAGAGAACGAAGATTCTCGCCGATATCTTGGCCCACTGGAATAATATATTGACCATAATGCATGGTGGTCAAGCTTGGCTCCGTGTTGGTTCGAATAAAGGTGAGAACCGGTGGTGTGTAAAGGCCCTGGAAGGAGGAATCTCCCACCCTGCAGCTTTTACCCGTGTGTTTCGCATGGTTTACTGGCCGTACGATCAAGTGCATCTAGCACTCCGCCGCCAAGTAAACTTACCTGCTATTTCTCGCAACGAGACCAGGGTATGCTCAGGATGCAGATTCGATTGAAATTTCATACGTAATCTGTACGAACAATTTAGATAGGGATTTTTAATGAAATCGTCGTCGTATTAGGCTGATCGTTGAAAATTTCACGATAAATCCGATCGAATTGAGAATGAAACGTATGCACGCACGATACACGCGGTACTGCATATGCGTCTATGTACGTGCAGTGTCGCCAGTAGTAAACAAATCGTGATGTAATGGAAACGCGCCCGATTTCTATGAAAATGTCCGAGTTTTACCGAGTTTCACTAGGCGCGCGCGTAAATAAATGTATACACATTTATGTAAGTAACCGTATTTATATAAGCGAAACACGGCTGAAAGCCGTGTATCAGTTGAATTTATCATCGCTAACCGAAGTGATTGTTAAATATATTAAATTACTTTTTTCCTATCTTTCGATTTCATTCAACTCTGCGCCATCGGTCTCGTACTTTCGATTCAATTCGTTCAAACGTGCTCAAGCGAAATAATAGAACGTCATCGTGAACGAAGGAAAACGTGCATCCATTCACCACCATCTGCTTTTCGCTTGGTATTATATAAACGTTGTTGTTCACGTTACGCATTGAATAATGCATGCAACATTTTTTCTTTTAACTTCTTCCTTTTCTTTTTGTTCCAAATAAATTATTGCCTAGTCGGCGCGTCGATGTTATCGAAAATTCTGATCGGATCGACAAGACGTTCGTGCAACCTCTTTGTTAAAATTCTCGCCTATCGGGTACCCGTCGATAGATCAGTTCGCGGATCGCTAGTTGAAGCGGAGGACATCAGTGTGATCTATTAGTTCAGAATCGAATGGCTGTTGCACGAACGAAGACGCGTCGATTTATCGATGCCGCGATATGCTAACCATTTTGGTTTGGTTAAAGCCGAGGGCAACCTTCGGGTGTCCCTCCGCCTCCAGCTTGAGCTGGACTGAAAGAAAAGGAAGAGGGAAAGGAACGAGTTCTTCGGTGCCTGTGCACAGTCTAGTTCAAGACTCACGATGATAGTGAACGTTCCATGAAGATTCCTCCGGCCGGCTGCCCTTCTCTGCCTAAACCAGAAACTAGTGTCACCGAGCATCGTGGACCGTCCACCGTTCGCACGGGTCGCGGAACCTCTGCAGGTCAGTGCACGTTTATCTTTCGGATGTAGCAATTATACGGCTGCTGTTTTCTTAATAATCGATACTGCGCCGATTTTTCATCATCCAGCTACGCACTCTCGAACGCACGATAAATCGATACGTCAAAATTCTCGATGCAGAAAATCGATCATTTTCATGATTTCTTTGTTTCTTTCTCTTTTTCGCAATTTCAAAGACACGCGAGTAATTTCTGTAAATCTGACGATCGAATACAACATAGATCCATTTCGTGGCGATATTCTTTTACTCGTTGCTCACCACAGTCCTAAGGAATGGAAATTGATCCGCCGTCGCAATTATTCGTGTCGAACTTACGTGAAACGAATATTACGCGTAAAAATAACGAGAAATCCTGATTTTCAAGTTTCTCCGCGTTTCTACGGATATATAAATATTGTTCCATTTCAAGTCATCCCGTGAGATGAGATAAAATTTTGAATTGCTTCCACGAGATAACGTTACATTTTACTTAAAGCAAAAAAAAAAAAAAAATGTCAAAACGAACGATCATTGTTTCAGCGTACGACTCGATGTAAGTCATGTGTTTTTCTTACACGCACTCAACGTACGATTTTACAATCTACTACGACTGCACGTGAAACTAATATTGGTCGAGAATAGTCAATTGAAAAAACGCGTACGACCTGCACGATACTTGCGCGATTCTGTCGCCGGGTAATTATTGACGATTGAAGTTGCAAAAAAGGAAGAAATTATAATCAATCGAATTGTATAAAAACATTGCGTTATACAAAATTCGACGTACTTTCGTTTTATTATTTTTTTAATTA